CCCACCTCCCCCAGCCCGGTGCGGCCGCTCGATCCCGCTCGTACCTGGCCGGCGGCGGCGACACCGGCGCCGCTCCTCACGTACCCGTTCCGCAACTCCCCGTTCGCCACGCAGCCGTTCGCCCGCACGGGGCGGCGGCAGCAGCAGCCTGCGGGCCCCGGCCGCATCGTCCCAGCAGCACCGGGGGCAAAGCAGCGTCTGTGAGGAGCAGCGGCGGCGGCGCTCCAATCCCGCTCCGCACCGCACCGCACCCACCTTCCCGAAACCGGAAATGGTTGCAGCGCCGCCGCCAATTCCTGGTCTGGCAGTCACACGGGGGCGGGGCCACCCCAGAGGACGCGGCTCGCCCAAGGTCCGGAGGCAGAGGGGTCCCCGGGCGGGGCGCGGCCGGGAGGGGGGGGCGGGCCCGAGAGCAGATGGCCAATCCGGGGGAGCGGAAGGCGGGTCCCTGAAGCTGTCTAGCCAATCACAGACCATCATAAAGCAGCTCGCGATTATAGAAAGGGCTTCTCTGGCGCGACTTGTGGGTCTGGCACCTGATTGGAGACCTGAGGTTGTGGGTATGGCTTAGCTGCTTACTGGTGCAGACAGGAAGGAAACGGAGTCCCGGGAAGCAGCCCCCAATCAGAGAGTGAAAAAAGAAAGGAGCTGAGCCTAAGTCTCTACAGAGGGTTCCTTGGTTCTCCAACCTGGTTCTCCAGGGCAGATGGTGTCCTCCAGTACCCTTGCCTATCTGTAAATTCCTAGATTGAATCCGAGCTCGTCATAGGCAGCTCCTTTATTTCATTAGCAAAATCCTCTGTGAGTGTTACTGGAATAGCCTTTTTTGGACTATCACCATTCTTCAATATGCACCAGACGTTAACACTTTTTCTTTCCTGCTGCTGCTGCTCTGAGAATTGAACCCAGGGAGTCGCGCGCACCTCTCACACACTCCTGTTCTTGTGCCTTCACTTTTGTCCCTGTCAGAGTTGTCCTTTCAATCTCCTTAGAAGTCTTTCCTTGAAAGTCAGGAGACCTAGTTCTAATTCTACCAATAACTGGAAGCTAAAAATCCAGCGTTTAACCACTTTGGGACCCAAATTTTGTTAAATATAGTCAGTATTTCTGCTTCATAGACTCATTGCAATAATTATATTGGTTAAGCAACTATGAAAATACTTGACCCAGATTAGGAACTTAATAAATATTATTTTCGCAGCCTTTTAGTACTGTCCCCCCAGAGTCGTTAGAAAGAAAGAAAATTGATCTACATTACAGCAAGAGACTTTCCGTTACACATAAAGAATTTAGTGTCACGGTTATGAGTATGGACTTGAGTCGGTCTGGGTTTGAAGACTACCTGTACCCTTATTAGCTGAGTGACCTTTATGTCCTTCCTCTGTCCTCCTAGGGAGTAATAATAGTTGTCATGAAGATCTAATGTACTTTGTACAAGACACCTAGCAATTAGTAAGCACTCATTAAATACTGGTCATTATTAATTGCTGAATGTGTCTATGAGAGTCACTGCATTTTTTCCTACTCCCCTAAGACTTTAGAAACCTGTTAACTCGTTATCGGTATTGCCTGACTCAGGAGCTCAGCAGCAGGCTGGGAGGACACAGATCCCTTAGGGGGGAGGGGACAGTATCGGACATTGGGCCCAGGTCCGCTGCACTGAGCTACATCCCCAGTGCTTTTTATTTTTTATTTTGAGACACGGTCTTGCTAAATTGCTAATTTGCCCAGGTTGGGCTAGAGCTTGTGTTCCCCTTGCCTCAGCCTCCCAGAGTGGTGCGGTTATAGGTGTGTACCGCCATACTCAGCTCATACATCTTCTTGGAGTCAACAAACATTATGATCCCTAGATGAACATCTACGGATGAGGCTAAAACAGAAGCTTGTGTTCCATGGAGCTTACATGGAGAGACCAGATGTACACATATAAAAGCAAGCAATAAAAGGCCAACCCAAGGCTGGAGAGATTAGGCAACAGGATTTCTGACAAAGGAGGCTGGGTGATAGTTTCAATTCAGATTTCCACATGGGAAATTTTCAGGCTGAAATCTGGTTGGAAGCAGAGCTATGGAATTTAATAAAAGTTTAGACAGCTGAATGAATGTGAAGAAGCTTGGAAGGAAGATGTGGAATGAGCTGGATCTTGGAGGAGCAGGATTAGCTGAAACTGAGAAGGAAGTGAAGGGCGTTGTAGAGGGAGGGAACCTGCAGAATAGGTAGAGAGGGTAGAAAGAGCAAAGCCTGAACTGGACCCTAGGAAGAGTAAAGATGCCCAGCTAGATTACAGAAATCCTGTTAGTCAGTTCCTTCCTTCTGCGGTCAGGATACCAGCTCCTTATTTTGTTCTATCACTTACTCAGCTTTGATCCTGAATGATTCATGCAAACTCAGCTCTGGTTTCCTCACTCTTCTTATGAAATTAATACCTGAACGACTTAGCTCATAAGGCTGTTGTGAGCATCAATGATATATACAAATGATCAGTTTACCCTGTTACCATTGCTAAGTCACAAAAAGGATGCCTTGGTAGGCAGTAGGAAACACCGCAGACTGCATATAAATAGGAGACAGCCTCTCCCAGAGGTATAAACTGCTTCCTTATCAGCATTTTACAGAGTTCATATGCAAAGCTCTATGTTAGGTACCAGGAACACAACTCTCTTCTTCAAGACTGCTCACATCTGGGGGAGGCAGGAAGAGGGATTGAAGGGAAGGTTGGGGAATGGGAAAAAAAGAGTCAAGTTATATTATGTACAGGTATAGATTCTCTGTGATGAATGTGATCATTCTAAATGTATCTAAAATTTACAAATCTAAAATGTGCAAATAAAATCTGATTTTTAAAAAAAGATTGCTCATGTCACTTCAACTACAAGTCTTTCTTGAACTTCAGCCTCCCTACACAAACCTTATGACTTGGGCAAGACTGTCTTAACTTCTCTGTGACTCATTACCTTCATCTGTAAAATGAGACAAGAAAACATTTATTAACCAGACTTGTTACATATTTATGAGTGTTGGCAATTATTAAATTAAAAATTATTTATTAAATTAATGAATGATTGAATACATTTATACCTTTAATTAGAGAGCAATCTCCTAGGGTTCAGGGGATTGTCTAACCCATCGTTTGGTTCCCAGCACTTAAGACATACCTGGCACGTAGCAAGTGCTCAGTAAATGTTTGATGGATGAATAAATGGGTGAATGAGTGGAATTCTAGCCCTATCACTGAGGAGTCTTCATGGAGACTATGTTAATTAATGTTGTTTCAGTTATAAATGACATAAGCCAATATAAGAAAATTTATGAAAGGTAAATTTATTGGAACTTTCTTGAAGATAAGGAAGTGTTAGGACTCAAGACAAATCCTAAAAAATCAGTGATAAAAATTTACAGAGTTTCAGCTGGATGTGGTGGCACAGGACTGTGATCCCAGCACTTGAGAGGCTGAGGCAGGAGGATCGTTCAAGGCCAGTCTGAGCCACATAGTGAGACCCTGTCTCAAAAAGCCAAAAAGAAAAAAGGACAGACCTTCCTCGCAGCATCAGACCACTTTTGTTGCTTAGCATTTAGCAACTTGTGACTTTCACATTCCCAAGATCAAACTTCTAAACTCTCAGGAAAGAGAAATTTAATTGTCCCAGCTTAGGATGAGATGGCTAAGTCTGACCAATCAACAACAGCCACTGTACAAGGAAAATCCAGTATGGAGAGTGGAGGAACAACTCCATCAGTGCCCATTAAAAAAGACGGAAACTAGGAATGGAAAGGCCAGATAACATGCGTTTGGATGGTGTGTCAAAGGAGGAGGAGGCGTCTGCTATGGCAAAAGGAAGCTGCCTAGGAAAAGAACTAGGCTGAAGCAGCAGCAGCCTGCACTACCAGACAGGGGTCTTGGTTGCACATACTGCAAATTATTATTAAGTTTTCGCCGGCTGAATGACACAGGTGGGGTTCATTAAAGGGTTTGCAGCAGTTTAGAGACCTGACTGAGGGCCACAGGACCAGGCTTGTAAAACACCAGGAACCCGAGGAGCACTGAGGGCCAAGCAGCAAACACCACAGCAAAAGTCTGTGGTACGAACTCTCTGGTGCGCATGAATTTGCCAGCACAAATCACTCCTACCAGTCCTTCCATCCTCCGTCACTTGGTGCAGACTCTGCCTGATTGACTGAGTTACATCCCACCAGGCCATTCTGGCACAAACACAAGAAAGGTGGGGTCCACTAAAATATGACTGGGACCAATAAACAAATCAAATAGGTTGCAGGATACAGGATTAATATGTAAAAATCAAGTGCATTTTCCACACTAATAATAAACAAAAATGAAATTAGGAAAACAATTCCGTTAACATATCATCAAAAAGAATGTTAGTTTTCGTTTTAAAAAAAACTAACAAATGAAATGCAAGATCTATACACTGAAAACTACAGAATATCATTGAAAAAAATTAAAGAGGACCTGAGCTATAGCTCAGTGATAGAAGGCTTACAGAACATATTTGAGGCCCTGGTTATAATGCCAAGAACATTAAAAGAAATTAAATGAGATCAGAATGGAAAGATAGCCTGTGTTCTGAGATTGGAAAGCACTTTTCTTTTTATTGTGTTTGTTTGTTGTTGTTTGTTTTGACTTTTTGAGACAGGGATTCACTGTGTAGTTCAAGCTGGTCCTGAACTCACTCCCCAGGCTGGACTTGGACTCAGAGTGATCCTCCTGCCTCAGCTTCCTGTGTGCTGGGATTACAGGTATGTGCCACCACACCCAACCTTGGAAGACAGTATTTTTAAGAAGGAAATGCTTCTCACATTGATTTACCAATTTAATGCAATCTCTTTCCACATCCAGCTGCTTTGGGGAAATATTGCTGATTGTAAAATTTGTATGGAGGTAAGAGGGACTTAGCATAGCTGCAACAATTTTCACAAAGAAAAAAGAAGATATATGTCTTATTTCAAAACATGCTATACATGCTATACACTGTAGTCAAGACAGTGTGTTATGGTATGTAATAGCTAAATCTTGGAACAACCCAAATGCCCATCAACTGATGAATGGATAAAGAAGATGATTTTTTAAAATACAATACAGTACCACTCTGTCATAAAAGAGGATAACTTTGAGACATTTCTAGCTAAATGGATGCACATTGAGACCATACTTTTAAGTGAAGTAAATCAGACACACATGTAAATACCACATTGCTTCTCTGGTGTGAGAAACCAAAGGTGTAAATAAGAAGCAAAATGTATAACAGATATTGTGAAATAGGAAGAAAATGTTCAAATGGGAAGGGGAACTGGGAGCGGGGAGGGGAGAAAGAAGGAAGGGAAAAGAAAAAAATCTGAAAGTA